TCATTTTCTTTTATTATGATGTCTTTTACTGGTTCTATCTTTCCGTCCGCCTCTTCTATTTGTAGAGAAATCTTCGAAGGGTTTTTGCGAACTACCGGTTTCTCTTTGCCCATTACGCTTCTTATTGGTGACTCGAAATGGCTTGTTCTCGAACGACGTAGAGGGTTGGGGAGATTTTGGCCTAGGCTGTTTTGTGTTACGATTTCCCACTTTTTCTATTTTATCCAGTCCTCCAATTTTTTGTATGTAAGACGATAATTGTTGAGGGTTAAACATATATTCGCAAGACGGAGGAATTTTCTCTAGATCTTCTCGAATATATTTATCTTTTACGGATTTCAGTAGTGTACGACGTCGTAGTTCAAGAACTTCCGCTCTTTTCCCACAAATAATTTGTAAGATATCGTGAGATACATTCTTATATGCCGAGTCGTTTCCAAATAAATCCTTCAGTTTTGAATAAAGACTCGACGGCGTCATTTGCACATTAGATGTGGCAGACCAGTCAATCAGGTTTTGTAAAGCTGAATTTACCGATTCATTTTGTGCTAGAAATGCGTTCGATAGTGTCGCAAAACTACGTTCCATTTGAAACCATCTTAAAGGAGCGAAGGGGTCTTCTAAACGTCGCATTTCTTCATTTACTTTTAATTCGATGAAGGCGGGGGTAGCAATATATTTTTTCTGAATGTCCGAATATCGCACTGAATTCCAATCAGGTGAATCAAATCTTTGCATGGAAGAAATTTTTGCTAATCTTTCCGGATTTGCCTTAGATATCGAGGGTTCTTTAACGGATACATCTAATTCTGCTATGTCACCTAGCTTTGAAACCGTTTCTACAGGAGGACGCAAAAAGCTCTCGTTTTCTATACCTAAATTTTCATTTGGGATTTCAAGGTTTGGAACTATTGTACGAGGCATAGAATTAATCTGCGTATAATTTGACAGTAAAAAACTATTCACGTGACTCACCAGTTGTTGAGATAGTATGTCAAACCTGCGATCCAAATCGGAGCTATCTATTATTCGGTCAGGTTGAGCCACCGACTTCTTCTTTTTAGCCGGCGGGGGACTCGCCTCGCGCGAAGCATCCGATGAAGATCCCCGCGACGATGAAGAACTTTGGGAACTTCTTCGAGGTGAATTTTTGTCACTCATGATGTGAAGGTATCCACTACGCGGTTATAAAAAAAAAAATTTACGGAACGGAGACACTTTTTTCAAATAAATATTTGAAATAACACTTTATTTTATGTCACACGACACCAAAAACATAGAATTCTCTACTTTAATTTCGAAAATTCTTAAATTTTTCGCGACATTGATAAAATGCTCCAACCGTTGAAAAAAAAACGACGCAACAATGACAAATATGGCGGCTTGTCTTTGGCGGGAGAAAGTTTTTCTTAAGGGCGCTAGGGGGCGCTGCGGACGTACAGCGGAAACGGAACTGGAGATAGCGACATTACAGGAAATAAAAAGTAAGAAAACGATGTACTCTCTCTCATAATGGACTTCGGACGTCTAACGGAACACATAATATAATACAAAGATTATGTAGGTGTTTCAAGTTTTCTATGTTTACTACTAAACAAGATGCTTATTATTCAGTCAATACAATTTATTGAATAAATTTATAGACAAGTTGGCTTACTAATTACAAGCATATAAGAAAGTCGAAACTCTGTGCTTATAGTTAGTAAATCTATTACGGGAAACCTTGTACCGAGAAAAGAAGAAGGAGAACCGGTAAGAAACTGCAAGTGCTGCTTTTGCACCCTGTTTAATTTACTGTACTGTACTGAAAAATAAAAAATTACTTCATTGCACCAAAATGTCACTTTCCACTATAACAATAAAAATATATAACAGACAAAAAAAACATAATAATTCATTCGTCAATCGGCTCATTTAAAGCTTATTATAATTACCGTGGCAGTTATCTTGGACAGTGGTCACACTTCCCGTGGATGCAAAATTAAACTTATGTTAAAAAAAACTATTTAATTATAGTTGCAAAATATCAACTTTACAATATATATGGAAATAATTATAAAACACGATTGATATTATTGTTAAACTTTTAAGATATATATTTTGGTACTATAGTTCTTAAAACTACGTAAAATTGTCCATATTAGAGGAAAAAGAAACATATTTATCGAGGTACAATCATATTATAAAATAATATCTATATAGTATAAATGTGAAAGTTTGTGAGGATGGATGTTGTTACTCTCATGCAAAAACTACTGAACGGATTTTGATGAAATTTGGAATACGAATAATCTTACCGGTGGGAAGCGCCATCATACGCTGGTAACATAGGTTATAATTACTATACTGACGCAACGGAGTCGCAAGAACAATGAGACTTTTAGATAATAAAACACGAGCAAAAGTTTGCTTAAAAATTTATAAATAATTGATAAATTCACGCCACTTTTAACAAAATATTATTTTCTTAAAACTGGCGTGAATTTATCTATTTAATTAATAATAATCATAAATAGGATTGGTACGTAAGTGTGAAACGAATAGAAGTATAATAGGTAATAGTTTAGCCATGCCCCTAACAATGGAAATTATATTACTTTATTTAATAAGTAGTTGTTTTGTAGCAGTTTCACGAAATACTAACTTTTATTTAATTTGACTTCAATGTCGATACAAATATCGATATCATGGGTCGCGCCCTATGACAGTTCGCAATCGAAGAATTTGCATTTCAAGTTTGTTTAGGCATACGCTTTTTCGTAGGTATGGCCGGTCCTCTTCTTTTATGTCTATGCTTTAGACCCATCTCTATTCTACCTTTCCTTTCCAAAGTTCTAGAGCGTCTTGTTTATAATTAGTGATGAGTCCCTCACTCGCGAGGTGCCTCGTTTGAGTTCCTCATTTCGACAAAATGAGGGAGTACTCGTTTTTCAATTTTGAAACACCTCATTAAGTTTCTCACTTTTGGAGTGAGGAGCTAAATGAGGTTGTGGACTTTTTGAGTGAGTAACTAAATAGCGAGTTGTTTCGAATGAAAAGGCGACTCGATATTCAAGATTGAGGGAATGGGTTAAGTTTTATGAGTTTTTGGAACGATTCAAGTTTGTTTGTGTTTCTTCGCAATACGTCTTTAATATTTTATAGATAATTGATATGAATTAGACTAAGTAAATATCAAAGTTAATAAAAATGTATCTGTTTTATTTAGAAATGTATTTATATGATTCGAAATATAAATGATTGATCGATTTTAAAAATGGGACATTTGACACTATTAAAAAATAAGTTCCATGTTGTGGTCATTCTGATAAATGATAGTCTAGTAAAGTTAATTTCTTAGAATCTAAAGACAAAATATGTTTTGTTTAGCATTAGCGACTCCCTCCCTCATTTTGTACCAAACGGCAACGTTGCGCGCGCCTCGCTACGTACTCATTCGCTGCTACTGTAACATTACCTATCCTCACCTCAAATGAGTGGTGACTCGCGAGCCCCTCACGAGGGAAAATGAGGTCCTCACTCATCCTCATTAAAAAAGAGTGAGTAACACAACGCTATTTATAATCAGTTGACCTCTTTCCTTCACAAGAATCACCTCCTCAATCCCTATCAGTCTGGATTCCGTACCGGGCATAGAGTACTACAACTGCTTTGGTGAAAGTTACCGACGACATCCGATCAGTTATGGAAGAAAAAAAAATTACGATTCTGTGCTTACTTGATCGGGGATCGCTTGCGCCTTTGTACTTGTGCCGAGTCACGAGCCGACGGCCCGACGGTTTTTTCGGTCGTTAGGTACTTTGTAATGAAATGAAATAACATACTAGGCTCAAAAACTTTAAAAAATTAGTCAACTTCCAATGAAAGTCCCGTCAAAATTGGTCAAGCCGTTTCAGAGATTAACCGGAACAATTAAACAGATATACAAAAAAAAAAAAATGTATTTTCGTAAATACTTTTTAACTGTTTATTTTCATTTCCATTTTATCATCACTTTTATTATAGTTTTTGATAAAAAAAAAGAACAACACGAGATAACGTTAGTGCTTAATAATTGGAACTAAATACATAAGATTTTACCCTTTTCAACTCAAAATTGATGTAAATAAAATTTTATTACTTTTTCAAATAAAAACGGAGTGCTTCCTTCTATGCGCCACCTAACGGTGAAGTCTTGAAATTATTTTTAACGTGTACATACTTAACAGCGTTAAGTACGATTAACTTAAATAGAGTAGGTGGTGGCAAAGCTGTCGTTAAGCAACTTTCGAAAGGTTTGTCACGGAATGGGAAAACAAAAAATTATTATCACAAGCTACTCTGTGCTTCCGAAAGCACGTTAAGCTGTTGGTCTCGGCTGCATTTACAGTCATTAATACCATCCAATCCGCATTGTCTAATACCCGGTATTATAAGTATTTAACATTGCAGCGCGATAGTTTAAAAGCGAATATTCTTAAGGAAGGCCTGAGCCCCTGTGGGAACGTAACAAGGCTGATGATGATGATGAACTTAAATAAAACAAAAACGATGAAAAGGTTCCTGAACAAACATGTGTTCACATAACTTTTAACAATAGAATGCATGAAGGAATACGGACTGTCTCTTAAAAGCCATATGACAAATTTTCACTCAGTGAGATTAGGTACTTTGAAGCGTTCAGAGTTCTCGTAAACTTGTTCAAGGTCACGAGTCCACAATACTGTGTTGAAACTACGACCAAGCTATTTTGATACTTTTCCCAATTTTTGTATTTTTTTTAGTATTTCTATCACGCAGAAAATCACAATTGAGATGTAATATGGGTCTTAAACCAACCCAAGAAAAGGTAAAAATATCCTTGTATCAAATAAGCAAATGTTGATACATAAATTGAATAATTGTAATTAATAAAGTAATATCTAACTATTTCATTATTAGTTTGACATAAAAGAGTAGAAAACGGAATGTCCATTTATTCCGTATTCTAAAATTATTTTACATTTTTTCTACTGTTTTTTGTAGCATTGTACCTGCTCGAAGTTCGCAAAAATATGATGGCATATTTTTTGGAGTAAACAAAAACGAATTGAAGTTAAATTTTATGTTTTATCTTTGTTCAAATTGTACGTATAAATAAAAATTTTGCTTATCTCTAAAAACACTGTTTTGACTAAAAATCACTAACGCGATGATAATTTTTTTAACGTGTTAATGAAGGCGCTAATTTATTAACGAGTTAGTTCCAAGAAGCGTAATTGTGCCTGAAAGCTCGTTAAGTTGTAGTACACTAAACCTTGTAACACGTTAATTATTTGTGCTCCGTTAAATAGATTACGTGCTATATTAAACAATGACTCATTATTATTTAGTCTAAATAGGTAGTTCGAAATAAATTATAGCAGTACTTACTAAATTAAAAGAAAATCGATAAACTCCCGTTCATACTTTTCAGGCTTAGGACTGTCTATAATTCAATTGTAGGCGTATTTATAAGTTCATTTATTTTAATAAATTCATTAAAAATTACATACATACAGGTCAAATTGATTACCTATTTCTTACCTCTTGTCGGCATATGGGTTAATGACGTATATTCTCAGGTACTGAGTCTACTTTTTTTCGAAGTTTGTTAAAAAAAATGACAAATTTCATCTCCTTTATAAGACGGTTAATTTTTAATTGCTTTTACAAGAAGCTTAAAATTTAATAGGTTATCGGTCAGCTGTACAAACGTCTATTAAGGTTTAATGACGTTTTTAAGGTCTAATGAATGTCAAAATTGAATGGGTAATGCCACTTTAAACTAATGATAGATTTAATGGACGTTGGTGCAACTGGCTGTTAATCTTTAAAACTACTGAAACGATTTTGTTGAACCATGAAGTGTACCCTAAGTTGAAAGCTAAGCAATCAAATAAAAAAAAATCATTGAATTCAGACAGTGTGCGACATATCTGTGGACATACATATATAAAATTTTGCACACGTGTTTAGAAGCCTTTACAGACCAACATATATGAACATTAGGCCATTCCAACGAAATTTCACTTTTTGAAGTCTTCAAAATTTTGATATGCATTTCTTATTGCTTTAACAACTTGGATCGATAACAGGAAATGAGTTGAGAAGAATGGTTGTTAGACTATGAAATCACTTTCCAATAAGATTTCTTTGCGTGAAATAAAATAAGGAGAAAAAAGCAGCCTTTGCTGAGTTTCTTGCCGGTTATACTTAGAACAAGGTCTCCCGCCATAGTTTTGCAAACCGTTGGCGTAGTTTTAGACTTTCATAAGTGCTATGTAACAGCCTAGAGTGAATGAACGATTTTGATTTGGAGTGAGATGGGAGCGGGGAGCGGCTCACTAAATCAGTCAGAAAGTCAGAACTATGTAGAAAAGTGAGGTGACAAGTTTGACAATAGCTTTTTTTCGCCAATTCTCAACTAACCATTTAAATGTTTATTATCTAGAGTAATAGTATACAGTTTATATGATCAATATGTAAATATTCACAAATTCCTATTTAATTATTAACTAAAAATGCTATCACAGTTTGTTAAGATGATCCAACCCTGCAACTACCTACTTCTTAGTAATAAAATAGGAAAGTTCTCAGTCACCAAGTAGTCATCTTCAAAAATAACAGCAATATTCAGCTCGAATTCTGTAAAACGATAGAAAATATGTATAATAGTTACTAAGGCTCATCATTTCACTTTGCTGTTTTACTGTTCACACAATCGGAACATTTCTTTCATGAATATCAAAAGAAATAGTCAGATAAAAATCATTTAAAAGCAGATGTTTTACGTAAATACAGAAATAATTATTAGGCATCACAGCATTCCGGAAATCTGTGGCGAAAAATTTATTTCAACACCAAAATTAGACACATTATAAGAAAGTTTATTTTGTGTATTGTTCCGATATGACACCTTATTAAAATGAATTATTAGATTAAATTGTAAGGCTGAATTAACAGATGGGTTACTTTTAGTCCCGTTAACTTTTTAGCCTAGGGAACTAAACAATTCCCTAGGGACCACGTAGGCGAAGCCGCTGGCGGAAAGCTAGTAGTGCTATAATTAGTCAGAAGTTCGCTTCTTTTAGGCTACTTACATAATGTGTAACAAAATGTGCTCAATTCGACCAGTGTACCTATTTTAAAGTTGGTTGTGGTGACTGTTGGGCAGGTGAACAACCTCGGCAGCACCATATACAGAGGCACATCGCGACCGCGCGCCACGTCGCCCTCACCCACCTGGATGTTCTGAATCTCGGTGGCTGGACAGTCAATACCACATTCATGGGAAATATGATATTGTTCCAAACATGTTGTAGAATATATACAAACAGATTTCATTGGAATTGAAAACCCACTCTAAATTAGAGTCTGATTAAGTACAATACCCTGTTTTGTACAATGTTACATTTAAGAATAGATGAGGATAAAAGCACAGGGTTAATATTAGCTTATCAAAATTAACAGATATAATTCAATGCATTATTTTATTATAATAATATGTCAAAATAAATAATAATATCAATATAGATAATACTTCATCTACTCATACCATCTCTGGAGTATCCTTCAGCGCAACCACAAGTTTCAACCCGCACCAGCTGAAGCTCTATTGACTTGATCGGTACAGTACATTCATCTACACGAATCTGAATATGACAGTCAGAATGAATAATCATTACAATAGCTCATATTTGAATACTCAACAATTATACGTCTTAGAAAAGTGATCAATCAGGCATTATAAAAGTGTACCAAATGTCCAACATGAGATGTTGGTGTGATATTATTTATACAATTATCAATTAGATGAGGTATGTTAATAACTCATACATATATCCTTAACATATACTGCCTCTGCATATAATGCATTGACTCACCTTGCCAGTTAGTGGCTTGTCTAGTGGGCAGACTGTGGAGTCTATTTCTGCATAGATCTGAAACTGTGGCAGTGAAGCGCGCGCTGCTCCACCACCCCCGGCCCCCGCGGCCCGTACCGTCGCTGGCGTGATCTCGCACCGCACTGGTTTCACAGGCGTTGGCTCTTGCTGCCAAATAAATTATAATTTAAATGAGTGATTCTTAATAATAGTGACTCAAGAGTTCTTTATGCTTCACCAGACATGGATTTCATGTAGCATTGTTCATACTTTATTGTATTTTATTGACCATGTACAATAAACAAATGTATATAGTGAACTACTATGACAACTACAATCTATCAAAGATTTTGCACAGGACTTGTTTATAATAAGCTACTTGATAACATAATGGTCACTATAAGCTCCAGTTACTTAATTTGCATTTGAAGAAGTTAAAGTAGTTGAAGAGTATGGAGAGAAATGATTAACAAAAATTAAATGAAATGTAATATCTAAACAAATCAAGTAGCATAAAGAATTTTTTTCAAGCTATGTTTTTTTTTTAATCTGTTGCGTTGTTTTAAAGATTTAAACATATATTGGGATATAGGGACAGAGAAAGCAACTTTATTTTATACTTTGTAGTGAAACTAAAATGATGCAAGCACATCAAGTATGATACAGAAAGTGATAGAAATAACTTTAGACACTGTAAAGTGAATAATTGAAGTTAATTCATATCTTTGTATAAAGTTTAAAAATTTCAATGCAATTTATTCTTAGAAAATATAGTTTACCGGTCTATACTGCACAAAAAATTGGCAACTAGTATTCAGTGGCTTGTTTAGAAATGACCTCTTCATGCTGCACTTGAGTGTATACATGATGTTAACAAACACCCCATGGTATGTTTCTAACAGCCCTGGATACCCTGAAGACACTGCCTGTCGAGCTCTCAGTGGAATCTCAAAAGGTATATCGGTGATCCCCACAGGAATCTTGCCAGGAGGTACTAGCTCCAAACTGGTGTTCAACAGATTTATTGGCTGCAAATAAAAGTTGTTCAGTAATAAATAATAATTTAAATACAAATTATTAAGATCTTACAAATTATAACATATGATACAGTGATGTAAGAAGAGGCGATGTTAAGTAGAGATATTTTTGGTAAAACTTACTTTTTAAAATAGCAATACCTTCAACAAAAATCAACAATTTTTTTATGTAAACAATGTTAACTTTTATTTTCGTAAATTTTTCACTAGTAAACATAGTTTGAGAAAAGGGTTTCTACAACATGATTGAATTTTGTATGTACTTTGATGCTGTTAGAGAAGGCTTCGAAAATGCCCACGTTCTTGGTGCTCAACTGCAAGTTGACGACGCCTTCCATCAATAACGTCATTCCCTCGTGCCGTACGTCGCCGCTGCTTTCCACCACCACGACACCCGCTATAGTCTCCTACCACACACCACAAACAGTAGATCAATAAATGCACAAATAACCAGCAAAAACCACTTTTCTACTATATACTAACTCCTTCGAAGTACACTTTGCTCGCTCGTTTAAGGCTAATATCAATATTTGTAGACATTGTACATAAAATACTATCTTTGTTGTAAATAGAGATGTTTGTTCTACTTATTTTATTGAATTGAAAAAATATTTAATTAATTACTTGAAAAAAATCAAGTTCATTTGTATGTATTACAAATATTTCGTATAATTTTAACTTGATTTTAATGTTTTCAGAATTTCTTTTTTTAAAGATTTCACCGGCCGTGGCTTCCATGGCATTTCAATGTTTTCAATAATGGTGTGCGGAATCGATTACCATTAATCGATTTTTCAAATAATCAATTGCTATCATTTATTATTTCATAATCGACGATTAACCATCGATTATTTCTTAAAATGTTAGTAATAGGAATAATATAAAACGTTAGTATAGTACCTACTTACTTTACTTCGATGGCTCAGCAACCCATAGCGGATCGCGAGTGTGAATATTATTAGTAGATATTCTATTACTTATAATGGCAACCCTGGAATACTTCCACGAACATTTGAACTTTACTTTATTTGAACTACTTTTAAGCAAATATCACTATAACTACGATAATTGAAATGCATAAAAGTAGATTTTGGAACACTTATTGTTATAATTTTATATTGTGTTTTTTAATAAATTTGCAAAGACATAAAGCCAGTTTTGTAAGAAACAGAAAGAAAGTTGCTAACGTGACATGCAACAAATATAACCCCAAAGAGTAAAAGTATATGCATTTAAAGCCCGATTCTTTTTAGTTTACAATGTCACAATGTGTTTACAATATGGCTTTTACACGTAAAGAAACAATAACAAAATTAGGATAATTTTCTGGTGCAAATAGGCCATGAATTAAAAAAGAAGTAGAAGAACTCTTCTGGTGTAAAGTAAATTTATTTTCAAAACTCAATAAACAACTCATATTCTATTTGTATATTTTCGTATTTTTATTGATACCTAAGTTTCGAACTTTGCAAATTTTGGTTTTTTAATTTATAGTTAAAAGGAACGGAAATGACTATCTTTGGTTCATTCGTTTCCTGCTAAAATCAACTTTTGCTAGGGTCGCCATCTAGTGAGATGCTTTTTTAGTGCATTCTTTTTTTTTAATACTTCCTCATAACAAGAAAATCTAAATGGGGAACAAAGATAATTATATAATAAGATTATTATTTATTGCTAGGAATTTAGAATACATTTCGTATGGATTGGGTTTCTCCATATTCAGGATACATTTAATATTTGTTGGACAAGGAACTTTTGATGGGAACAAATCATAAAGGGAGACGGATAAATGAAGACAATTAAATAAAATTAATTACAGAAGGAGACCCGATTTGACACTTCAGACTAGAGATGCAACAATTTAATATTAAAGCAATACGAAACGATATGTTGACGAACAAAATTTCATTTTAATGTATTAATCCCAATCTACATCAAGTAGCAATGAGGGTTTTCCCTATTGCAGTCACGTGCATGTTTTCTAAATGTCTTTTTTCGAAAGTTGGAGACATCACCGTTGTGCTAGCTAGCTAACAAGTTTCGGGGCTAAATATGATACAAATAGGCCCAATAAGTAAAAAAAGCCAAATTGACAGAAATATTTTTTATTGGTATAATTATTTTGCAGCACTATTATCAGACATCACTAGATCGACAGAACTCACTGAATATAAATAAAAGATCCATAGACATAAAAGAAGAGGACCGGCCATACCTACGAAAAAAGCGTATATGCCTAAACTTCAAATGCAAATTCTTCGATGGCGGATTGTCATAGGGCGTGACCCAAGATATCGATATTTGTATCGACATTGAAGTCATATTAAATAAAAGTTAGTATTTCGTGAAACTGCTACAATACTACTACTTATTAAATAATAGAGTCTGGCAAGCGAAACGTGTCACAAGAAAAGGGCGGCAATTTCAAAAATTCTTAAGCAGTAAACACTGAATGTAGTACTGCAAAATAATTTTGATACTTTTATTAATTATATTTAATCTTAACATTTAGATATCAATTAAAATTATTTGTTTTGGAACATTTGACTAAAGCGTGACTGTTCTTAATTGTACAGTTAACAGCATATCAGTAGGCCTATTCACTAACTCAACTGACAACCAAGAATCGTCATCACCGTAAAAAATAGACACTTTGATTGTGTCAAAATCACTATTTCGTATTCTCTATCAATGATGAGCAATTTCGAAATGTCAATATCGGCATTCTCCACTGGACTCCATTTTGACACTTGATTTCGTATCGATAAACTGTATTAAAGTAACATTGTTGCAAAGCATATTTGAAGTCGTCGCATAGTACCTCTTAAGCCATTTGTTGTTAAATTAAAGCGAAAAAAAATACGTATCCAATATTTTTCTATTATCTGACTGACGGACTAAATCGAATCTTTTTTTTAACCCATTCGTTATACCTATTGGCTAACAGCACTTATAATATTAAAAATTCATATTTGTCATTAATTAAAAGGGTGTTTTTTGCAACGACTTCTTTGTTTTTTTGTAATGAATATGGGCGACTCTGGCCACATTTTTTTAATAAATGTGATGTTAGCCAATTTTGATTTCTGGCCCTTATATTTATAATGTGTTCATAACACATACATGTCTCCTAAGGGATTTTCATCACAACCTTTTGCTCTGATCCAGAACCACTATCTATCAAATTAAATTAGTCAATATAAACACCAGATTACAATAAAAAAAACATTTATTTTTGTTACAATTAAGTGCCATGGATAAATTACATAATACAGGTGTCACAAAATCATCATGTTAATCACAATAGAAAATTTAAGATAAGATTTTGACTATGAATCAGACTAAAAATACTTTAGTCTGATTCATAGTCAAAATCTGTTTCTAAATATTCTACACCTGATAACAATGACAAGGAATCATCAGAGTCACTCTCTTCACTACTGTCTGCACCAACAGATATAATAAATTTTTCAAGTTCGTTTTCAACAATGCCATCTTTTAATTTGTAATCATTTTCGACATTTAAAACATGATCAGTGTATTTCTTCCAGTCACTAGGGGTAATTAAGTTAAAACACTCTATTATTAAGGTTTTCCATTTCCTTTCCTGGTATTCCAATGTTTCCTGCTTGCAATTTTTCTTTTTGCTTGACTCCAAACCATCTCTATTGGGTTTAAGTCACAATGATACGGTGGCAGCAATAAAAGTTCATGATTATGTTCTTTTAAAATCTCTTCAGCTTCATATACAGGCAATGTTTTCTTATCATTAACCAAACACATTAACTCTGCCTTTGTCTGATATTCCTCAAAATGTATTCCATTATTTACAAGCCATTTACGGATATCTGCTTTGGTATTAGACATTATAGGCGGTTTATTGATTTGTTTTATATGGTAGCTGGCATTATCCATAACAATTACACTGGGCTTACTTAAATTTGGTATTAATTTTTCTCTGACCCATTTCATAAAGTTCGATGAGTTCATATCATCATGATAATCAGCAGATTTGGATTTACTACTGAACACTAATAATGCACCAGGCACAAAACCTTCCTCAGATCCAGCATGCACAACAATATGCCGTTTTCCAGAGGATATCTTTGTAGTGACACCAGTTGTTGAAGGTCCTTGCCAAGACTTTTTAACTTTATAATTCTGATGTACATAAGTTTCATCAAGGTACACAATTTGCTTTCCTTCGTTTCGTTTTATATTTATTTCTCTCAAATACTTGTGCCTCCATGCAGAAATCTGGTATTTTTCTATAAGCATAGAACGTTCATTTTCATTGCTTTTAAAAGAAAATCCATTCTTAAGCATAATTTTTCGTAAAGTCTCACGGCTACCACTGAATCCTATTGCATCTTTTAATTCATTGTGAAGGCTTCTTAATGTTGGAACAATTTTTTTCACACAGTAAAATTCATTTACTTTATTCCGAATTGCACTTAAATCAAAATTATCTAAAGCAGACACTGTTGGTTGATGAGGTCGTTTTTTTCCCAGGAGTGTCCCATTTTCCTTTATTAATTAATGCTTCATTTTTTATCCTTCTTAGTGTCCTTATACTTACATCTATAAAAGATTAAACACTTTGAAACAAAGATATGTTAAATGTATTTAAAAGCAAATAATGATAGACACATACATCAAAATAATTTAAATACCTATTCAACTATGAATGCAATTTATGTTTAATTTAGTTAAGTTTATGTGCATATTTAGCATGTATAACAATTACATGGTTTGATTAGTTTCATGAATTCTGTGAATTTCCTTGTTAAACAAAACATTCTTATGACATCATTGGATGTCAACAATAAAAAACCAATACATCATAAAAAACCTATGTAAATATTATAGGAATACTATCAATCTATCTTAAATCAAAACAAGAAAAGAGACCTGTCATTGAAGAAATTTTTTGTAAGTACTGCGTTTCCGAATTCAGCATTTCTTGTTTTTCTAAAGTTTTTATTGCATTTATCTCCTCCATTATTGGTTGAATATCACCATCACAGTTATCTGAAATAGAGCAATATTTTATAAAAAATATCTGTTTAGTTAATTACAGAAAATTAAAACGAAAGTATCAAAATTATAATACAAAACTAACCTAAAAAAGATACAACTTTATCTAATCGTTGTAATTTCTCCATGAAATTTTTATTTAATTCAGTTTTCACTTCAGTAAACTTGTCAATCATGATGGAAAGAAGTTTCCTCGATGAACTTTTTATCGGCTTCGACATAATTTTTAACCAAAAACACAAGTTCAAATTCGCAAAAACAACAAAATTCAATATTCTTGAATTGTCTAACGTAGTGTCAAACTGACAGTTCTATGTTGTTGCCATATGAAAACGGAAAAATAGGTGGTGTCACGTTTCGCTTGCCAAACTCTATAATATAATTTTCATTGTTAGGGGCATGGCTAAACTATTACCTATTACACTTCTATTCATTTCACACTTACGTACCAATCCTATTTATGATTATTATTAATTAAATTGAAAAATTCACGCCAGTATCAAGAAAATAATATTTTTTTTAAAAGTGGCGTGAATTTATCAATTATTTATAAATCATTAAGCAATCTTTTATGATGCATCAGCAAAATAAACATCCACGCCGCAAAATAATTATTTGGGTATTAAGATAATACTATTGAACAGCAAAGAAAACCTTTAACTATGCCTTTAATTTGATAAGTGTGCATATTTTAATTTTTATTAAAATTATTTA